GTGTTTATTAAATAAATTCCTTCAAGATTTCAAGTTTTCGTGACTGCAAGGATCTATACTCGTTGGTTCTTTCGGTAAAGTCACGTAGATGAAAAATAAAATTAAAATTATAAATTAAAATAAATAAACGCCGTGATTTAATTTACTTATATTTATTTATCTTTTTTTATTTTTTATCTACGTGACTTTACCGAAAGAACCAAAGAGTATTAATCAATTCCGTTGCGTTTCATGGTCTCGCGGGATGATCGCCGTTTGGCCTCGCGTGCGCATTGGGGGTCGATAAAGAGACTTAAGCGACCGGTGATGAAGGTGAGAGTCGGGTCATGGAATCAGACGCGGACAAAGCGCCCGACAATTATCCACTCTCGCACGCAGACACGCACACGCGCGCGCGTAAATAATCACACGAAACAAAGACAAAGGTCCCCCGTATAGCCTTAACAGACTGTAGTGGCAAGTGCTGTTAGCGAGCACCTATGAAGGCCGGCAACGGTACACGAGTGGGTAGGTGGCCACCACCACGCCCGACCGCCTTTGTCTCCCCAGTGGCGATGTTTACACACCGCACCAGGTACTAATTTTTTGGCCGAGTCGACCTAGGGGAGGCCCAGGACCGGTTCAGATAATCGCCATCACCGGTGTTGGCCGTGAGCGGGATTCAAACCCGAGTCGCCGTGTTCGTAGCGCAGCGTAGCACGAACCGCTCCACCACCGCTCCTCACACATAATCACGCACGCGCGCGCGCGCACACACACGTCCTGTGTGATACGCGTTCGCGCGCATAATACCGCACGCTCGCCGTGGGTAAACACACCCAGAAAGAGCAGGGCAGGGGACCCAATTGAACGGACGGCGATGCGAGCCTGCGACACATTCTCCACTCGCACGCGAGCCGGTTCTGCGGAGTTCAATTCCGCCCACCCGCGCCAGTAGACGACCTGGGACCGACAGCTGAATGATCACCAAACTCAATCCACACCCCCCCCCCCCCCCCCCCCACGGCTCTATCCGTTGCACCTGCTCAGACTCATAAAGAATCAACCGCTCCGCCGCCGCCGTGGTGTTTTGTGCTCCCTTCTCATTGTAACGTCGCAGGAAGCTTGCGCCCAGAGCCAACGATCAACAAGGGGAGGCCGCGGAGTGCGCGCACGCGATGCGTGAGCGCCCAGTGGCGCAACGCGACCCTCGCTGAGTCCACACAAGACAAAGATCCCCTCCCCCCCACGGATAGCCTCACACAGACTTTTGGGGCAAGTGCCGTTAGCGAGTAGCCAGCACCCACGGATGGGGGTGGGGTGGACAGCACCATGCACGACTTTAGCACCAGTTACTAATTTCAGGCTGAGTCGACCTAGGGGAGGCCCAGCACTCGTTCAGATAATCGTACACTGCTGTTGGTGGTTGGCCGTGAGCAGGAATCGAGCTCGGGTCCGTTCCCACCGCACCTCCGATCAGCACGGTCGTCTAGGTACGGTACAAAAGAAGTTCAACATACATACATGCAGTGCGCTAACCGCTGCGCCACCGCTCCCCTACAAAGACACTCACACCATCACCATCCGGCCCACGTCATCCCGCGCCTCCGATCAGCACGATTGGCTACGTACGGCACGAAAGAAGTTCAACGTACGTAGCTCACTCTGCTACCCACGCTCCATCCTGTCCCAGTTTCCTCCTCCGCCCCCCTCCTTCACCTGCCTACAACCCCTAGCCCACCGCACCCTCCCCCCAGACACACCTTACATACACCCCCCCCACACCTCGTGCTCATGACCCCTATCAGCTTCCTGTCACCTTCTCTGTCTGACACCTCCTGCGTGGAGGCGTGTGCGTGTATTGACTGCCTTCGTTTGAAAAGGTGACCTCTGTTGAACCGTCGAATTGAGCAGCAGAATTATCGTAATTTGTATCATCATTGATCACAGTGATCAACATGGTGATCGGCATAGCCATCATGATTACCGTACAGCACAAGCAACAGCAGCGTCGTGATCACGGCGTGTCTTTGCAAAAGCCATAACCTGACTGCCTCGATTGGCAAGGTGACCTCTAGCGACACGTGTTTCCGTCACCAGCATCTGCAGGATTATCGTCACCTTGATCAGTCACCGCAGTCATCAAGTCATCACATCTACCATCATCAGCAGCAGCGGCAGGAGCGGTAGCTGCTGCAGTAGGAGCGGTAGCTGTTGCAGTAGGAGCAGTAGCTGCTGCTTCCGCAGAAGGAGCAGTAGCTCCTGCTGGTGCAGCAGTAGCCGCTGCTGCTGCATCAACTGCACAATCATCATCATCGTCGTCGTCATGACGACCGTGTCTGTGCGTTAACTCTGAAGAGGTGACCTCTGCCGATGAAGGGCGTTTGCTCGCAGCGTGGTCGTCATCATCACCAGCAGTGGTAGCACCGTCGGTAACATGAGTTAGTTAATCATGCACCATCACAAATTCCACCACTATCTTCATCATCATCATCAGCAGCAGCAGCAGCAAGAGCACATCATTATATATTGCGGGTCTTTCGTCTCATGCGCCTGGGTCAATGTTCTTTTCTACCTGAACTAATTATCCGTGTATCTCCTCGTGTCGTCGTCGTTGTTGCTTTTGCGCGGCGAGCAAGTGAGTGTCTTTGCATCTCTGCGCGCGCGTGTGTGCGTGCGTCCTTGTCTACGTCGATCTGTGTTTGTTCCTCGCGAGGAGGAAGACCCCTTGGGTTTCTGATCCCTCGCGAAGCTCATCGTCCACACTCAAACCGCGATCGGCGCAAGCCACGTCAGAAATTTCGATTTAAAGCTTTCGTGACTGCAGGGGTTCATCTTCTTGGTTCTTTCGGTAAAGTCACGTAGAAGGGAAATAATAAAATAATAAAAATAAAACATAATTAAATAATTCTCAGGACGTTTCGGACACAACGGCTGCTTGCATTGTGGCCGAAACGTCGTGAAAATTGTATTTAATTATGTTTTATTTTTATTATTTTATTATTTCCCTTCTACGTGACTTTACCGAAAGAACCAAGAAGATGAACCACGTCAGAAAGTAGAATTTTCCAAACACTGGCGATTTTTTTGTTAAAAAAACCTCTCCAAAATAAAAAAAACGGCTGCTTGCGTTGTGGCCGAAAAGTCGTGAAAATTGTATTTTATTGTTTTATTTGTATTATTTTATTATTTCCCTTCTACGTGACTTTACCGAAAGAACCAAGAAGAAGAACATCTCCAGTGTACGACCTTGGCCATCCAGAACGGAGAGCGCACGACGTATAACGACGCAATGCCCCGACCCACAAATACGAAGGGGACGTCAAAGCGACGATACACGACCCCGCACCTCCTTACGCGGCAATCCGGCTTGACCCCCTTGCGCGTCACATCGTAGTTGTCGCTGGGCATTTACATTATCCGCCATACGACGGCAATAATAAGTCGTGGGACGATTGCACAAACCTGTCGACCCATTAATCAGTGCCCTACCTTATGACAGACCAATTCACACCTCATTGGTCACCACGTGCCCCTTATGCATCTAAACGTTCATCCTACAAAGTCCCATCCAAAGGGAGAAACGCAAACGAATAGACACAAACACTTTTTTTTGCCCGAATCAAAACGGCTGTACGTCGTGTGGACCCGCAAACTCAATTTCCCTGCACAAGAATACGCTGCGGAACCGTATGGGTCGACAGCGATGACGTGTGTGTGTCCGTGTTCCTATACATCTCTGCGTCGATACTTCTCGACACCAGAGGGCGCCAACGCTGTACGCGGGCAGCACGAGCGACGAGTCAGCTTTTTATTAAAAAAAATCACCTCCCTGCTCCCTCCGTTCCCCCTCCCTCATCCTTCCTCCCTCCTCCCTCCCTCATCCTCCCTCCTCCTCCCTCCCTCCCTCCCCCTCTCTCCGCGCCTCGAGTCTGCCTGGAGACAAGCACACGCCGCACGCGACAGATGCGTGTCTCAGGGCAGTCCGCTGGCTCCCCCTGATAATAATTCACGCGGTGCATCCTCTATCGCATCCCTCGAATCAACGTATAGAGGCATGGTGCACCAATTAGTGGTGTTGCCGGACGGTAGTAGTCACAGTAGTATCATTATTGCACCTGTTCGAATCTTCTGCATTTGTATTTTTGTAAATGGAGAGCGGCAAAAATGCCGAACCCTTGTTTCACGCGTTTCTTGAGCGCGAAATCTTGGGACACGGTGCTGAATCGTCTTTTCGTGTTTAAATTGTGACACGCGTTCTGGAAAGATGGAACCTTGAATGTGTTCAATGCGCGCTGTAAAATGTAGTTTTGTTTGTACAAGAGGCTAACATTTCCTCGAAAAAAGAATGCACTATTTATGAGAGAGAGAGAAAAAAATTGAATTGTATTTTTTTTATTTTTAATTGGTGGATAAAATCACCCCTTTGTAAAAAAAATAAACCCAACAGATGGCACAGTCGCGCGCTCTGCAGCGCTCGGCTTTAATGGACGTGGATCGCACCATTCTTTTATGTAAGAGTGGGGGGGGTGTGGTTGGTTTGGGAGGGTGACCAGCTGCGGTGTGGATACGCAGAATAATACAGACTGCGCACGGCTCTTTATTCTAGAAACTGCGCACCTCTCCCACCCCCACACTCATCTAATCCCCCACCCACCCCACCACCACCCGCCTCTCGGTGACTGCGCGGCAGCTGACGCAAGGAAGAGTCCACGCCTCGCTCAGTAATGACTGTCGCGTGCAAATGCGCGCTTTGTTCAAGCATCCACCCCCCCACCCCCCACGTCATAATGCACGTGAAAGACCCACACATTTTGTTTTTTAAATGCGTAAAGAGTGCGCTAATTTTAAACCCAAGGAACTATTAATATAGAGTTCTCGCTAATGCAGGATCGTGAGAAGGCTGTGTTGATTTGGGGGGGGGGGGAGGGGGGTGCAGTTCCACTCAGCAGTGGATAAACCATGGCAGATCGTGGATCACCAAAACTCCAGGAACGATAAGACAAAAGCAGAGCATTCAGTTGCATTTTATATATTCTTTTATTTTCTTTGTAATATTGCACAATGCAATAGACAGGAATATAAATTATTATTATAATACGTGGATTGAATATGCGTGCATAAATACAATATTGTGATTGAACAAGAAATACATTATGATCGTGACAGTACTCTTCGAACAAATGGTAAGACAGTAACGCAAGGTATCTCAACTCTGCTATGGCAGTAGTAACACAGTAACAATTATAACAATGCATTGTTAATCTCAAGGTGCAAATTGAAGATCATTGTGCGTAACATGATGTTACAAGCGGCACTTTCGTGGCAAATCCATTCCGTGCGGTGCGGATACAATTAAATAAAGTTTGGTGAAGTTAAATTAAACAAATAATGTTACCTTAAATTAAAAACAAAAAAACTCGTGTGTTCGTGTGTGCGTTCCGTCCCCCACTATTCTCGTGGGTTCTGGTAAGTCACTGGGATGCGTTGCGCAGAGAGAGAGCCGTGGGGGGTGAGTCAGTAATTCAACCCACCCCACCACAATCACTCAACTCCTCTCGAAACTCTGAACTCCCGACAGCCGCTCAGCTTCCTCCAACAACAAGCCGACTGCACAGTTCAACCTCCTCCTATCCCAGTTCATCTTAAATCATCGTCGTCTTCATCCTCCTCCTTAAGACTCCAGCCTCGCTCGACCGACAGTCTTGCCAGGGCACCGATCCGGATCGAACCAGACCGGTCCACGGACCCTCCTCCATCAGGCTCCTTGTTTAGCCTCCAGCCAGCGAAGCCAAACTACGGACCGACTCTTGACGACCACCATCAACCATCATCATCATCACCACCGTGGCGGTGGTCGTCTTCGTCGCCGTGACGCCGATGCCCTCGAGCTCGTGGCGTCTTCTCGCTGCTGTCGCTGCTGCTGCTTCTTCTGCTGTAGCCGCTGCTGCTTTTCAGCCGCTGCTGTAGCCGCTGTAGTAGCTGCCGTTACCCATCGGTGTGGCTGCGCCTCGCCCCCCGTCACGGGGCACGGGCACGCCGCTCAGCGCTCGGTGAGGCTCAGACTCGGCACCCACTGATTGCGGTAGCGGCTCTCGGCGCAGAACGAGGCGACCGCGCGGAGGGGTCCCGCGGGCAGCGTCGAGGTGAGCAGCAGGCAGTGCAGGTCCCGGGGCTCGTCAGCGGCGGAGGAGGGAGACGTGCTGCTGGTGGTGGTGGTGGAGGAGGCATTATCGCCCTCCTCCTCCTCCTCCCCTTCGCTCTCGGCTCCCACGACACCGGTGCCGCTGGAAGCGCTGACGCCGCCGTCGCCGCCGCAGAGCAGCTGAGCGAGGCGCGCCACGCCGCGCACCCGGATCACATCGATGTCGTTGTCGCCGCAGAAGGCCTGGATCAGCGTGAAGTGGATCTGCAGGGCCAGGTCAGACTCCTCGTCGGCGTCGGCGGCCAGGAGACAGAGCACCACGCTGTCTGGGTCACTGTGGAGCCAAGGAGGAGAGAGGACACGGTTAGACACTGTGTACGAGCGGCGAGTCGTCGCGTGTAAACCGTTGCATTACACAATGGGATATTCTCTACTCGAGACAATCTCATGTGGCGTGCGTGTGTGTGTGTCCCCGCTAGGTTAACTCGGCATTAAACCCGCGCGCACTAAGTGGAGGTCGCAGTGACCATCAACACTCGCGCAGCCAAATATCCCTCGTGCGACTCGCGAGAGACGCCTCCGAGCCCTGCGGTTACTCGAGTCCCCGTGTCCCACCCCAACCCACCCACCCACTACCCGAACAATGTGCTGGAAGTGAGACTTACGCATTGAGCAGCTTGGCAGACTCGTAGACTCCGACCGTAAGGTCTCCCTGCTTGTGTGCGCCCACCAAGAGCTCCTCCAGCGCTTGCTCAACAGTCTGCATCGCTTGCTCCTCGGTGGTTCCAGTCGCAACCTCCTCCAGGGTCATGTTGCTGATGCTGCTGATGCTGCTGAGGCTGCTGAAATTGTTGCTGCTGTTGTTGTTGTTGTTAGCGTCGCTTTGCGCTGAAGCCACAGTGCAGCCGGTCGTAGCAGAGGTAATCCGTTTTCTCGGCGCGACAGCTCTGGGTTTCATAACAAGAGCGTGGTAGCGAGAGAGGGTGGCAGGAGTAGAAGGCGAGAGAGAGGTGTGGGGCTTCGGGAGCAACGCGCCTCGGTTTATATAGGCGGCTGATTCGTCACCCGTCCACGTGTTCTCCCATTGGCTTGTGGATTCCTCCCCCCCCACGCCACCAGCCACCCAACCACCCCATGATCCCCCCAAACTGTTTCTCTCCCTCCCTTCTTCTCTCGCTTGCCTCTGCCCCCCCACCACCACCACCCCCCATAACACACACAGACACGCGCACACATAAACCGGCTCCCTCCCTCCCCGCCTGGGTCCACACCTCCCCGCCTTAGCCCGCGGTCATCCAAGCCCCCCGCCTCACTCGAACTCAACTCCCTCCCCTCTCGCTCCCTCCTCCCTCTCCCCTCTCGCTCGCCCTCCTCCTCCCCCTCCCCTCCTCCCCTCCCTCCTCCCCTCCTCCCCTCTCGCTCCCTCCCTCTCGCTCCCTCCCCTCCCCACCACCGCCGCTTGGCCCGCTGCTGCCTGCCGCCGCTGCTGCTGCTGCTGCGATCTGGTGTCAAAAACAATACCACGACATTCGAACAAAACATGCAGTAGACTCGTGGAGAGATGTTGATCCCCCACTCCCCCCCCCATCCACCACCACCACCACACCACCGCCGGCTCTCCGCTCGGCTGTTATTCCATTTTCTCATCCCTTCTCGCGTATTTACGCGAGAGACGGTCTGTTTTTTTGTTGTTGTTATGTACGAGTGTGTTTTTCGGTTTAGCGATTGCAACGACCAGCCCCATCAACCACCTCCTGCACCCCCCCCCACACACCCCCCGCTCACCAGACTCACCCATCCACCCACTCTTCATTCCGTGAACATGTTTCTTTCGCGCAGCAAGATTCATTTCGCGTAAGGAGGCACACACGGGAGGGGGGGGGGGAGTATTTTCTAGACCGTCCCTAGAAGGGCTCCAGAAAAGAACATTCGCGTGCGCGCAAACACAGAGGCAAAGCTCCCCCGTATAGGCTCGACACACTTTCGGGGGCAAGTGCTGTTCTCGCGAGCACCTATGCAGGCCGTCACGGTATACGCGAGGGGGGTGCATGCGTGTAGTACTCTGCGCTGCTCATCTCTTGTGTGTGAACACGTTGCACGCACACAACAAACACACACACGATGCACGGTCACTAGCGCACATACACCGCTACGAGCGTACGCAGACCGGCTCATCGCACGCCTGCAAACGCATTTGCTTCGGTCAATCCGCTGCCGCGCGAGGGGTTTCAACTCTCACACCCCGTTGCGGCTTATTTGAGACATACTTCACCGCGCTGGTCACTGCAGGTTGCCCGGTCGGAATGACGGCGCGTCTGCACTGATAAGCACGTGCACACCCGCGTTCATTGCACATGCAATGTACACGCGGGCTGTTGGGGCAAGTGCTGTCTCCGCGGTCACCTATCAAGGGCTGAACGGCACACGAGGGTGGCGTGGGTGCACAACGCCACGCCAGACCGCCTTTGTCTCCCCAGTGGCGACGTTTACACGATGCACCAGGCGATTAATTTGAGGCCGAGTTGACCTAGGGGTTGCACTCACTAAACACACACACAGTACACACACTCACTAAACACACACACAGTACACACACACAGTACACACACACAGTACACACACAGTACACACACTCACTAAACACACACACAGTACACACACTCACCAAACACACTCACAGTACACACTCACTACACACACACACTCACTACACACACACAGTACACACACACACTCACTACACACACACAGTACACACACATACTCACTACACACACACAGTACACACACCTACTACACACGCATTTGAACACAGGCGCTCGCTTGCAAAACTGGAACACGAGAGAGGGAGGGAGAAAGAGAGAGAGAGAGCGGTGCTTGCTGCAGAGAACTGGGGGGCGCTCCTCACCAGGGGAGATGGAGCCATTAATCTCGCAAGCCAAAAGAACACCGAGTCTCTCGTTTCGTGGAATATACATTATCAGGTTTTTTTTTTCATTTTTTAGGGCTCGTTATTACGGCACGGTTATCCGGGGAGAACAAATCAATAGAGCTGCCACACAACAGCACGCCAACGAGATGCCTCTAAGCCAGAGTGGTTCTTCAACTGGGGGTGCACGCTGTACCCCAGCGGCATAGCAGGGGGGTACATATGTCCCCGGGCGCCAAGGTAAAGGGACGCCAACATGAGGCTTACAACGCTACATTATAACTTATTGCGGCGGGCGCGGCAGCCTGAAACTACTGCACAAATCTACACCTCAACCTAAACGTTTATATATCCCGCCACACACAGCCTACATGTCATGTAATTACATTTTGGTATGTGATTAAACGGAGGGTGCACGCTGTACCCCCTGCACGCTGCACCCCCCTGGGGATGCGAGGTGCCCTTTCTAGGGGGTGCGAGACGTGGGCAGATGATTGTTTCGAAGGTAAATAATCGAAAACAAAAAATTAAGCACGGGCACACAAGTGACAACTGTGTTTCATCAAACCCATGCGTGATTATGAACATTGTGCATTTGTTTTAACGATTGACATCCAAAGGGGTGCAAGGCTGCAGTGAAGGTTAAAAACCCACTGCTCGAGAAAGCGAGTGCATTCAAACGCAATGGTCATCATCATCATCATGAGCCGGGGTCAATCCACTGCTGGATGAAGCTATCCCCACCCACCCCCGAGGCCGTCACTGCTCTCTCTCTCTGTCTCTCGATCGCTCGCGACTCTGCGATGTAATTAACAATCCACCTGAAGCATCTGCAACAACCGAGCTCATTCCATCGCTCTCATCATCTCTTACCCCCCCCCCCCCCCCATCCATCCACCCCGGCTTGTGAACGCCGCTGTCCGGCGCGGTCCCCATGCCGCTCGCCCGGCCGTGTCAACTTGGTCATCCCTCGTGACCCTCGGCCATCGTCGCCTTCCGAAGCGTCACGTGGCCCTGTCCCAAAGGGCCCACGGCCACGTGACGTCTCTCAGCAGGTCGTGCGAGGCCAATAACCCACCACGCGCCCCTCTCTCTCTGTTTCTCTCGATCTCTCCCTCTCTCTGTCCCTCGCTGTCATTTGCGACCGTGCATCTAAACGACATCTACGCGTAAAGACGACTACACATGGGGACCTCTCCGTCCCTTTCCCTTCCCACCGCTACTCCACTCCACTCCGCTTGCAGAAGAAACTAAACGTCGCGTTACCGGTTACGAGTCAAGGTCGCTGTAACTTTATTTTGTTGTAAAAAGGGACATTCCGACCCGACCGGGTGTTTACGCAAATATTTCATCTCGGGAGGGAGGGAGTGAGAGATGGTGTTGGGTTGGGTGGGGGAGAAACGGGTCATGCCAATTACACGAATCACGCATTGTGAGTGATATCTGTATGCGCCGGTTATGGCGCCCGAAAGCTCTGGACTGAAACGATATTTTTTTTTTACTTTCTCGGGAAAGGCCCCACTGAGATTAGAAGCTCTGTTATTTTTAGAAGCGACCTGGCCACAAATGAATAGGTCAACGAAGTGGCTTATACCGCCGTGTGGGAATTTATCGCAGCCTAAATACTCTGAACCCCACGTTAATTCTCAACGCGGTGGGAAAACCCGCAGGGACCCGGAGAAAAATCCACGCGACCACGTGCAGAACATGCAAACTCCAAATATGCAGCAGGCATCAGAGTCGGAATCTAACCCACGACCTCCTGTATACCAGGCGAGATAGTTAACATCTCGCCACCGTGGCGCTAACCCCCCCCCCCTCCTCCACTTCAGCATGATGGTGAAGTATGATCAACGGCCAACGTGGCGTGGAGGCGGGGAGAGTCCTTAAGCCAGCAGTAGATTGACTGTGGGAGATGTTATACCAATTGTAATTGTATCCGTATTTGTTATGAGTCGCATAAAAATTCTCATCATCAGCCATGGCTAATCCACTGCTGTATGAAGTGGGGTTTTTTATGGTTAGTTACATCTAGATATTTGCACGCATTGTTTAATTCACCGCGTGTTCGTGCTTTAGCAACAACAAAATGTCCCAACTGGCGTTCACTCGAACGCGTTGCACTTTTTCGAGGGACATTTTTTTTCTTTCAAAAATAGAAATCGTTGCAAACAGTGCACGCGCGCGCGGGCTGGCGTGTGTGTGTGTCAATGTACGCGCGCGCGTTTGAGTGGTGTGCGTGAGTTTCGTGACCTATCGGTTACATTTTTTTACGTATGTCAAAGGTTTTCCCCGCGCCCCACTCGAGTGAAACCGCAACTCTGTCGCTAGTTCCTTGTGAGTTAAATGTTGCAGTTTCTAGGCACGATCAGCAGCAGCAGATCAATCGTTAGCTCGGCATGCAACAAGCGATGGATCGTGGTACCGCGGCGAATAGTCCACATCCAGCAGTGGATGAAACTTGACTCATGATGGAAGTGGTAGTGGTGGTGATAATATCGATTTTGTTACGATTTTGCTGCTTCTACTGTTAACTTACGAAGAGCATTGTGATATGGCTGTTGCTTCGCTGCTGATACTACAACTCTTGGTCTGTGAATATGTTTCCGCTGATGATTATGATGATTTTTGAAGAATACGATTGCTGTTACTGACGATGCATCATCATCATCAACTGGTGCTGACGAAGCCGAATCAGCTGCTTCTACTGCTGACTACCGCAATGATAACCCAACCCCCCCCCCCCCCCCTCAAAAAAACATTCTAAACAAAAACTCACTTTGTTCATTGTTTACTCCAAAGAGGGGAGGGGGGGGCCGTGCCAGGGCAATCTGTCCCCGCTTTTTCATGCAAAGTCCTGCACTGCCCGTGCAGCTGGCGTGAATATAGATTATCCCCCCATCTCTCCTCCTCCTCGTCAACCCCCCATACAACCCCCACCCCACCCCCACCACCTCCCCGCCGACCCAACACGAAACTGCACGGCGTCTTCACGGTGCCGTGGCTTCTGTGCGCGTGGCTCGGCCCGTGCCGGGCCCCCATTGTAGCGACAGAGGGTGAATTTGGTCTTTGTGCACGAC